ACAAAAAGATTCTTTCAGAACACCTAGCCCCAAAGTCAAATTCGGAGGCAAAGTCCTTCCCATCAGTGGAAACGAATCATACAGGGCCCCAAACCCTAAAGTGTCGTTTTCATGTTAATTTTCGATTATCCCTATAGAGCCCCAATAAAACCCCCTTTGTAACCCCCCTATAACTTCACAAGAATCCACCCTGCCTCTGCATCAGCCGCGAGTTCTGCTCCTTCAAGTCTTTCAGCTCGGGGTCTGTGACCTGTGCGGAAGGATGCACCAGGAATTGGGGAAAGCTGAAACCAAGGTTAGGAATTTTGTTTTGCTGGGGTGGTGTTTTTGTTTTTTTAGGGTTTGGGAGTTGTAGGCTTTGGGGTTTTAGGGTTTTGGGAGTTAGCGTGTTGGGGCTGAAGGACGGAGTTATAGCCCTTGCGGGCTGTTTTGCACGGGAACGGCCTTGGGGGAAAAGAGCTAACGACGCCGTACTGAATTGGAATTGAGCCGCGCTTTGTGGGGATGGTATGGCCGCAGAAACGTGCATTTAACGTCTTGTACCATCTGGGGTTAGTGCATTCAATGGTGTCAACTGAAGAATATGGATAGCCATTGGCATGTCATCTGCCGCTTGTTTGCCTGTGCTTGTCTGACATTCTAGAGGGCTCCTTAAAAAGACCCGGGACCCTTCATCCCCGCCTTGCTTAGTATGAAGTGCTAATCTCCACCTAGGGTAAGGGTAAGTCAATCATAGCTATCCACTACAAAACACTCAGGCATTTCAAAGCCCTAAACCCTAAACCCTAAACCAAAGGCCGTAGCAACAGCCCCCACCTTGAAGGTGTTGCCAATCTTTCGCACCAGCTCCGTACAGACCTGCAGGAGAAATCAGGTTTCGCGTTTGGGGTTCACCTGAACCCCAAATCCTAAGGATCCAAATAGCCCAATGTAGGCGACACCTCTAGACTTTAGGACCCAAATTAGGCAATATTTGTATACTTGGATCCTGGGGAATGTAGGCTGTTTGTATGGGTCGTTTATCATGATGCTCACTTGGGGTGTTTTGTCTGACGGGACACTTGGGATGATATAAGCTGTAGTCTAACTCCTTCAATGGGGTTATACAGGGGTTACGTAGCAGAGTATTATACAAGGACGATACTAGGAGTTTCGACTATAGCTCATATAGCTGGCTGATTTTGACAAATACCTAGATTCAGGAGGTTTCGCCAAGGATAATTTCTACCGAGAAGGACTCATCACCCCCACAAACCTAACTCACGCTAAGCCCGAAACCCTAAACCCTAGGCAAACCTCTCTGATCCCAATCCCAGACCCTAGTACCCAAAGCCTGGAGACTTGTTCAGGAAGATCTCCAAAGCCCGAAATCATCCCTAACCTCAATACCCCTGCATGCTCTCCCCAACTCGCAGATATCCACCCCGTGGTCACCCTAAACCATATGAATCACTCACCCCAAAACCCTAAATCCTAAAGCCTAAACCCTGAAGCCTAACCCTAAACGCTAAAGCCTAAACCCAAAAGCCTAAATCCTGAAGCCTAAACCCTGAAGCCTAAACCCTAAACGCTAAAGCCTAAACCCAAAAGCCTAAACCCTGAAGCCTAAACCCTGAAGCCTAAACCCTAGACGATAAAGCCTAAATCCGAAAGCTTCTTCATGGAAAAGATCACTCTGAAGGCCTCGTAGGCGTCATTGGCCTCCTTAGTGGCAGTCTCGATGCTGGCAATCAAATCCTTCACCTGCAGTTGCAGACTTAGGGTTTCGGGGTGTAGGGTTTCGGGTTTAGGGGTGTAGGGTTAAGGGGTTTAGGGGTTTAGGGTTTAGGGGTTTAGGGTTTAGGGGTTTAGGGATTTAGGGTTTAGGGGTCTAGGGCAGTTGCAGACTTAGGGGCTTCCTAGAATTAGGGGTACCTTTTTTGGTGGGTCGCTATAATAAGGATTCTAGGGTCTATATTGGGGTCCCCTTATTTTGGGAAACTACCACTTAGGACTTTAAGGTCTATAAGTCCCAAACCCTCAGCCCTTGAGGCTTGAGGGATTTTCGGGGTTCTGGGTTTCAGGGGTCTAGGGTTCAGGACTCCGGTAGTTTCGCAGGTCTAGGGCTTTAGGGCTTTAGGGCTTGGGGTCCAGAATTTCAGGCTCAGTGTTAGGGTAAAGGGCTCAGGGCTCACGGTTCAAGACTTCGGCTCCACCAGGAATTTCTGGATCTTGTTCAACATGTACGAGTTCCTCAAAAGTAGTGAAATCAATAGTCCAAAACCAAAAACATTCAGCAAGGCCATACTATTATTCCACGTGCTAATTTGAGGGGTCTATGTAGTCAAAAATCCTGAGTCTCTCAAGATGCAGGGATGAGAGGCCGTGATTTTCCAGAACCATTTTAGGAGGCTGCATTTGAGACTGGACCTTTCGCTCTGTACCCACCAAAAAACTCCTCTTTGGTAAACACCCTGAGGTGCTTCCTCTGAGGACTGCTCCATTAATAAAGGCAAGATGATCTAAGGTTCACCGCATGACCACACTTTGTTGTCTTGCCGCTGTCAAAACGCCGCACTTTCGCGGCCAATGGTGGGTCTCTGGGAGCTTTAAGTTAAAGAGTTGCTTCCCGGATTTGCTTCAGTGGTAGATTTGGGAGCTTTGCAAAAACGGCCAGCAGCTGCACAAACATCTGGTGTAGTCTTTGCTGTGTCCAGACTGCTTTCCGCCTTAGCAAATCCAGAAAATTGCCCTAAGGGTCCAAGGTCTCAAATATTAGGGTTTTAGGGCCCAAATACCATGCATACTCTAGTAACTCTAGTATTTGGGCCCTAAAACCCTATTATTTGGGTCCTCGGACCCTTAGGGTTGGTCAATGGAGACCAACCAGGGCCTCACGAGGTGGCTCCTGATTGTGGACATTTGCAGACCTACGGCAGCCTACTGTAATTTCACAAAATCCAGCCACACCCGATGTACACTATAGTTTAGGTGGACCCCCCACCCAGTAATTGTGACTATTATAAGGGTTTATCGAGATTGTATTCGGGTCCTCTTATATTCTTATTATACCACTATTACAGGGTGGGGGGTACTCCTAAACTACACTATACTACCTCAGATGGTGCTGTGTAGATATGCGTACAACATCTTGCTGGATTCTGTCAAGCATCAGTACCACCACGGCCTTTTGCAGCGCAAGAACGTATTAGAGAGTTTCCAGGCTTGTCAGGTAGTAACAACATCTGAGGGTTGACGGGCTTTTAGGCTGTAGGGGCCCTATCCTAGTAACCCAGCCATAGCCCCATAACTTTCCTGGTGGTTTGTAGGGCATACGGGAAGATAACCCCAATATAATCCCCATGTACTGGATTCCCTTATTCCCTACTAAGCATTAGTAAGCCAGATATCTGTGTTTTCTACAGCTGCCTTTACCGAGAGCTTGGGCTGATAAAACGAAGGCAACAAGGGGCCAACCCTCTGTTGCGTCAGGGTTTAGGGCTGAGGGTTAAACCCTAAACCCTTCGCCCAAGGCTTGTTACAAGCCCGATGCTTCTGGGCGGCACTCATATGAGAATATGATTTCTAAATTGCCCGAAGTACCCAGATGATCGCCCAGATTACAGTTCTCAACAGTGGGCAAGCTCTGGGAACCTAGAAGGACCCATATATGATAGGAGCTCCAACAGAGGGCAAGAAAGTGCTCTGCAAAGTTCCCAAATGCCTCAAATCACTTCCAAAACAGTTCTCAATACATCATATCCCAGTTTCCATGTCAACGTCATTTTCCATTTTCTTCTCCATTTGATTCTGCATTATTGCGGGTAATATACCCAAAATTTTGGGAAACTACCATATCTGTGCCGCTGATTTATGGACTCTACTTGTGACCTGAAAGAGCCGGGGTGGTGCGCATCCTACGGTGCAACTCCACAGACGCTTCATGCCCCACAGAGGCATCAAACGCCCAACCTCAAGTGCGGGTTTAGAGACTTAAGTCTCATGAGCGTCTATTGCAAGTAGGCTTTCGTAGGTTTAAAGACTTGGGTTCAGGGCTTAGGATCTATGAGGTTCAGCTGTCTTCGGCCTAATTATGCTGTTCGACGGCATTGGGACTGTCGGCGGGCTAAGGAATGTGGTAGATGAACTGATGCGAGGATGTTGCTTAAGTGCCTTGTGCGGCAAGGACCCAAAGATACACCATCGAGATCCGGTTTTTTATAATTTTTGTCTGCGAAAGACATCCACAACGTGCACCCTGGGTTTGCCTGTGACCTGGAACCTTCCCGAAAAGCTGTGGAAACCATTCCCTCACCGCCCAAAATCCATGTAGGAAAGGTGTGGGACCGAAGGAAAAGCTCAAGTGCAGCGTGTCCCAAAGAGGCTCCAGAAAAAGGCAACCACACATCAGACGCCTAGACTCAACTCACCCAGACTTACTTGCAACATCTTAGGAGGACCCCCCACCCTGTAATAGTGGTATAGTAGGAATATAAGAGGACCCTAATATCATCCCTATTATCCCTCATAGTCACTATTACTGGGTGGGGGGTCCACCTAAGCAACATCAGACATCCCTGCATCGACTCCTACACGATGAGGACGCGATCTGGTATCTTGCATGCAACTTCTTGAAGCCTCTCCACGCTGAGCTGCAACAAAGAACCTCTTCTGCAACCCTATACTCAACTAGGGTTTAGGGCTTAGGGTTTGGGATTCCCAATAATAAAAGAAGTCTTGCCATGAGCCAGCACGTAAATTACCCCCCCAAGACTCCCAAGTCCGTTCTACTCATTATCCACACCCCCAGCCCAACCTCTAGGAACACATCTGAATTCGAGGCACCAAAAAAGTAAACCCTAAAACGATCTCAACATAACCCCTCAGAGCAACTGCATATTCTTATCCCTCGTATCTTTTGGGTACAATTTTTTCAGCCCTTTTTTGGGGGTTCCTTTTCTCCACGATCCCAGGGCAACAAGCAAAAAGGCTTCCAGGAATCGAGCTCCAGCCGCCTGAGCTTACTCGATCTCCATATCCTGCGGTGGTTTGTAGTCCCCGTTATGTAGATAGAATATTAGGGTTACATTGGGGTTATATAGGGATAATGGAGCAGAAAATGGAAACTACTTAAGGATTTAGGGTGTATAGTCCCCCTTAAGTAGATAGATGCTGGCTTTGGGTATATTATAATAAGGTCCCAATATGCCCCCTATTCTATCTACCTAAGGGGGACTACAGGGTTTAGGGTCCGAGGTGTGAGGCTTAGAATTCAGGGTATAGGAACATGTTCTGTTTTCTCAAAGCAGGGGTACTCGGTTTGGAAAGTGGATTATGGGTGTGTTCGGTATTCTAGGGATTGTCTAGGGATCATGTTGAGAAACTCTTATATGTGTTTTTCAGACTCGTGGGTTTCTTAGCAAAAGAAGAAGGGTTACAGTTTTGTGACGAAGGGGAATTCTAGGAGGACCCTAAATTTCTAAACCCCAACCCTCTTTTTGAGAAAAAGCCATACAAATACCCGTACCTCAGCCTCAGACCTGGACGTCTAGCTGATGGTTCAAGGAGCCAGCATTCAACACAACTCCTCCCCTGCAGCCAATTGCATTATCCCAGAATGATTCCACACGGAGGAAATCTTCCACCACTGAAGGCAAACTGACAAATCCTGCTTGCGAGGCCCAAGCTTCTACAGGGTGTTGCAAGATTTGCTCCATCCACAGAAGCACCGCGGCTAGCTTATGGCTCCAACAAACAGTATCAGATCGACCCCTACCTCCATCTCCATCTTCCTGCCTGCTCATTTACGCTATCTTAGCGCTGGTCTTTCTAACATTGCTATGGCCTGCAGTATTGGAAGTACTACCATAGCGTTTACCCAATGTTGCCCTCCTCTCTTGCTGCATTAGTTCCCCCGGCTCTGCTACGACTATGCTGGAGTTTAGCACAACCAGGGCCTTGACAACAAATGCAGAGCTCCTCGTTGTGGGACCCATAAATAGTCTCGAGAAAATCCCATCTGCTCCACAAAACTAGCATCTTACCCCCATACGCACGGGAGCCATTATTGATAAAACCCTCCGCAAATTAGGGCCCGATGGTGGTCATGATCTGGTCGTATAGCGTCCTAATTTATGCGGGTTGGGGGTACCCAAACCCAAAGCCCCTGAGTAGATGATCCCAGTTTCCATTTCGCTTTCCATTTTGATTTCCATGTTCCATTTGATTGTCCATTAGTGAAATAAACTCAGTGAATCCTAGCGTTTGTTGGGCCTTTTTCCCAAACAAACCTACATATCCACAAATAATCCCTATGCAGTCCCTGCATCATCCATATATAACCTCAATCTGTAGGGCCCTTTTTGGAGGGGTTCCATATGGGAGCCACCCTAAACCCTCTATCCTGAACAGTTAACCCTAAACCCAAAACTCTAAATCCCGAACCCTAAATCCAAAGACATATGAGTCCTAAATACTATAAACCCTACGTCCTAAACCCTAAATCCTAAACCCTAAGTCTTAAACCCAAAATCCTAAACCCTAAACCCTAAGCTCTAAATCATTTGTGAGGCACGCCTTGTACTGAGGCCGTCATCATTTCTGAAGCTGCTGAAAGCAACGGTCAAGTATCACGACATGTACACACGGCCTTTCTTAAGCTGGAAGTAATGCCTTCAAGGCCCTTAGGACCAAGGCCTACATCTGAAACCCTAAACCCGAAGTCCTAAGCCCTAAACTCTATACCCTAAGCCCTAAACCCTAAGTCCTAAACCCTAAAGCCTAAACCCTAACCCCTAAAGCCTAAGTCCCAAACCCTAAGCCCTAAACCCTAAGTCCTAAACCATGTGAGCTATAGTCTAAACTCCTAGTATCCCCCTTAATAACCCCTATACTACTCCCCTATATAACCCCCTATATGACCCCCCTTTAAGGAGTTTAATGGGTATATATAGTAAATAATAGGGTTTCCCCAATACAGTAACTTAATTTAAGTTCCTTAACAGCAACCCAGTGTGGGGAGCCTTGGGGATGCTCTCATCGATGATGGTACCTCCCTCCTCGGCCTCCGCATCGGGCCTCCGGTTTTGAGGGGATTTATTTGGGGATTAGGGGTTTTCTTATAGGTTTTATGGGCTTTATGTGGTTTTGTAAGGTTTTATAGAGTTTATAGGGGTTTATAGGTTTATAGGGTTTTATAGATTTTTGTAAGTGTTTATAGAATTTAGAGGGGTTTACGGTTTAGGATTTATGCGGTGGTATTTCCTATAGAGCTGTTTGCGGGAATGGAAGAAGCAAATGAAAACTACAATTTGGGGTTGAGGGGTTGAAGGATTCTATTGTGGGGATATCATTTCGGGCAATAAAGGGCTATATAGGGGAATGGGAAGGAACATGGAAACGGCTATATGATTACTTGTAGGGTCTTAGCCATTCAGAGTCAAACCCTAAACCCTGAATCCTAATCCCTAAATCCTAGATCCTAAACCCTAAACCCTAAATCCTAAACCTAAGACGTCTGTTCTGATTCAGGGCTTATTCTGAGGTTGGACCTATGGAGCCCATCGTATGGGCCCTTATTCCTGAGTAATTATAAGGATGATAAAAAAAAATTGGCGTCTATATTGGGGGTTATTCAGGGAAACTACCATATAAACCTCAACACACCCAATTGAAGGGCTTATAGTTAGGACCCAGCAAACAGGCAGGGGCCCATATTAGAGGTCTATGCATAGGATCCCACATGTATGGTGTAAGGAAGCCTTCCAAGGGGTTAGAGACCACAGCCCTGAGGGAGAACCATGGCCTAAGGGTGCAGCTAAAAGCTGGTCTCTATATCTGGGGGTTGTTCTAAGGGTCCTTGTAAAGGAGGGACCATTTTGAATACACGTCCTTAAAAAGGGGATCCTAACCAAACAGGGAACCTACACTATGGCCATTTTGGGGGACAGGTATTTTGAGCAACTACCATCTCCATTCACTATAGTCTTCTCGGAGCTCTGTGCGTGTGCAGAGCACACCTCGCCATGTACCCTAAGTGGTACTTTCTCGAAATAAGGGGACCGGAATATAGAACCCCAAATACTACTACAGTTCGTATTATAGGACCCCCAAAATGGTGCCCTTAATTTTGGGAAAAAAACCAAGTGGTAGAATGGCTCACCTATGCATCCAATCTTCTTATCCCTGGGCCACAGCCCAAACCAAGCCTCTGAACTTCAAAGAGAAGCAGGAACCCAACACGCATGGAGACCGTCTGAAAGCAGCTGCCAAAGCCTGTGGTTCGGTGGGAAAACTTGGACGAGGATGGAGCACATCGCACCACCTGCATGCAATAGAAGCAGTGTCCTCCAAACATGCCTCTTTTCAAGGGTCCAGGGAATGGAGAATCAACTGGAAAAGCAAATGGAAGATGAAATGGAACCTGGGGCGGATATGGGGGTATACAGGGCTTAGCATACTTAAGCCAACAGCTACCCCTATGAACAGCCACTGCTAGCTCTTCGGGCCAATCATGGTTTTGCGCTGCACAAGGCATGCCACTTTACAAACAGGTGGCAGATACTGGAATCTGCACAAACTTCCAGCCCGCCGCCTTTGCGGCCTTTCTTGTGCGCGTCCCTCTTGGCCTCAACAAGAAAGCATGAAGCATCAATCAGGGAGTTTTCCTTTAAGCCATGGAATATGACCCTTAATAAGGGTATTTGGGACCCCAAACCCAGGGTTACAAACATTAAGGGTACAAACAACAAGTCTTTGAATCAATGGCAAACTGTCTCAGACATCAAGGACCGTTTAAGTGCCAGGAGGGTACACCAAGAACCTCATTCAATCTGCCGGGATCCCACTGCTTTGGGCTCCATATAACAAGTGTAGGAATAATGGTAACAACAGTGGTAGTGATAGGAGGAGTAGTAGTAGTAGTACTACTACTAGTACGGCTACTACTACTACTGCTACTACAACAACAACTACTACTACTACTACTAGTAGTAGTATTACTAGTAGTAGTAGTAGTA